TTTATTTGATTATATACTGTCGTATAAAGAAAAAGATAACAGTGAAGCTTCATCATCGTCATGTATTTACCGCTGTGGGCAGTTGTTTTTATGTTACATTTTCTTATCTCTCTTGCATTGCTACACATATAATTACATATTTTTCTATCGATCCTGTGTTTTCTAATTTGTCCTGTTGTTTGTAGCACACCATTTTATATTTCTTTTCACTTTTAGCAAACAGATTGGGAAGGTAATATATGCTTCACCTGACAACTGAATTTACAAGAGAATATGAGTACTCAGGCCAATGATCTACTAAATAGTCTATCAATACAAAATGAATGTCTTATATCCTTCTTCTATACGATAGTTGACTATTGGAGGTAAACAATAATATATATATGTAAGGGGTGAGTGTTTGCCGAATTTAGCATCGACGATATTTTGTAGGTAGTCTTCATTCCATTTGAATTTTAATGCAAGCATTCGATAAGAAAATTATTTTCTTTTGATCTAGTTTGGTATCTTCGAGATTTACTTCAGAAAACGTTATTTTCACTACCGATCGATACGTCTACCACGTAGATATTCTATTGCTGGTAAAGTTTCAAATTTCTCAAGTTTTACAGTTCAGATTTTTTTAATACCAAGATCTTGAGAATGAGGGTGTGACGTGGTTGAACATAGAAAATGTATTTTGTTACTGTTGTTGAAACTCATAGCCACACACTTATGATGCATTTAAAACAGGTTTCGTAGAAAATAGAGACCATCTAAAATCGTCTTTACGTCAGATAGAACTTTTAAAGGGTATCTCACAGCAGACACGTCCGCAGAATTTTTTTTTGGGCGGGGGGGATTGATGACTGTGCAGAAAAGTTCATCATGTAAAAGGGTTATTCCAGAGTTCTAAAAAAATGCTCGACCTGTACCCCTCTCCAGCTATTTCAGTCTAGGGAGGGTGGGGATCGATCCCCCCAATCACCCCCTGCGGACGTCCCTGTCTCACAGTCTGGAACGAATTTTAAACCTTTTGATGGGTTGCTGGTTTCACACGAAAGCTTGAAAAAAACTTAGCGAACCCTTTACAAGTGTAATAGAAGCGTTTTAGGTAGGTACGCAACCTACCAAAGGGATCCAGTTCTGTTGCAAAAGTAGTTTAGTATGACAACCATTTTCATTTCCAGCATGCAGTATGTTCGTCGTGATTGTGATCAGAAAATATCGATCTCACAGTTCACCAGCTGAAACTCAGGCAATATATCGGGTTCGGTAGGTATGTCAGATTGTCTTTCGGATTTGGCAACTGCTTCAGACTGTCTGCGAGATTCCACGAACACTTCAAACTGTGTGTCAGGTTTGGAAGACAGCTCATACCGTCTATTAGAAAACTAGGCACAGTAGAAAATTATTGCAAACAGGGTGTGGATGGAAGTGTCTCTTCGCATTTTCAACCAACCGACACACCCATCTTCATACTCGCCTAAACCCAGACCCACACCCTTAAAATGTGTTCGGAATCGCCGCGGTTTCATGAAAAAACAAAAGTCAACTTTTTTTTTTGTTTTTTCAATCCCATCATTTCTAGATAACAAAAACTGTCAAGGTCGAATTATATAAAAAAACAAATCATCTACTTAGTTTTGTCAAGTGACCAACACAATGGATGATGATATGAAAATGATATCTGAAAAAAAGCAAACACCGTTAAAGATATTCTACATAATGATCGATGAAACGGATCTTCATAAACACGATACTCTTCAAAATGAATACAAAAGGCTTGCTCAAAACTACATTAAAAATAGTTCTTCAACAATTGCAGAAATGATTGAAAATTTTCAGACCAAAAACAAGTCATACCTTTTTGGTATTACAAATTTACTTGAAGAGAATGCCGAAAAAAACGAGAATAATCAACATTGGATTAATTTTAATATTATTAAGCTTAATGGAAGTTTACTTGGATTTATCATTGATTCAAATGAATATAAGGTAGATGAAAACAAATTCAAAAACTTCTTAAAAACTATAATCAAAGAAGAAATTAAATTTATCGATTACAATAATCGCGATGCATCTTCTGCTTCTGTTGAAAATATTGCAATTGCGATGAGCCAGATCGAAATTTTTATTCTTTTACTTCAAAATGAAAAACAAGAGATAGAAGAAAAATTTCAATCGTTAAAATTGTTTCAGAAAACTAATCAAGCAATTGAATTTGAAAAATTGATTGTCGAACAAGGTTTAAGTATGAGAATAAGAACGAAACCAACACTGAAAAAAATTCTGTCCCCGTTGGAATCAGTTCTTCATAGTGATACAGAATATAAATTGCCAGAAAAAAATCAATTGAAAATGTTAAGTAGTATATTGGCAAGTGAAAATTTTTTACCACGAGCCAATGATGACATTGACCTTGTAAAAGAAGTAATTCGTTTTCTAGCCATATTGAAAGATCGAGGAGAAGCATTTAATGAAGAAATTAAGAAAAACGTTCGAAAGTACTTTATAGAAAATAGAAATAAATATCAAGAAAAAATTGATGAATTCAATACTAAATTACATGAAAATAGCCGAGATACAACTGTTCAAGGTTGTTTAGATTTAACTTTAAGAGATCGACTAGAATTCTTAGTTAATATGAATAAATTAATACCCGAAGAAATTAGTCTGAATGATATTGATGGGTTTTTCAAATTATTTTCGGAGAAAAATCAACAACAGAGATTAGAAATGGAGAAAAATCAATTGAAGCTCTCGAAGGAAGGAAGTAGTCTAGAAGAATCAATGAGAATCAGTAATGCGATAGGTGACATTGAAGAAAAACTCGATTATTACGCAAGAATATCTGAAATTAGTAAAGAATTGGATTTTAATGATTTAACTATTATATTAGGAGATAAACTGACCTTAAATTCTAATAAAGAAGGCTTTTCTTTTTCTCAAGAAACCTTTCAGAAAATATTCGAAATTGGAAAAATAACAGAAAATAATCAAGTAGCTTTAGCAGCTATTAAAATATTCAATTATAATGAAGCATTTTTATCCAATGTAGAAGAAGTTGAACAAACATTAGATAATATTTTACCAAAAATTAACCAGGAGGACACTGGAATTGTTTTAATGTTATCGAAAAAACTGAATATTAGAAATAATTCTAGTTTATTGAAATTTCTACATAAGATATTAATCGACTATCCGCATCCAGAGGAACGTAAAGAAGCATTTGAGATTTTACAATCAGTAAAAATCAGGTCTGAGAGCATGAAATATATAAATGAAGCAATTAAATTAGAAGACAAATGTTTCAAAAATGATTCGAGTATAGTTCGAGATTGTTTAAAACATGTTAGAATGAGATATCAATTAACATTAAATTGTTTCGAAGAATTAAAAAAGCATTTTTATGAAAACGAAACTATTGAAATAATCATCGAAATTCTTGAGCGAGAAATACAAAATTTACCAAAAGCTTTTATTGAAAATATCTTGGAATACGTTAAATCATCAGCATGGGAAAAAGGCAATCAAATGAATGTATTTCGAATGATTAAATCGTTATTTAAAATTAAACAAGTCAGTTTAAAAGATATTCCAAATATCGGTGAATTAATTGACAATTCCAAATCTTATGGGGATGGGATTTTTGATTTATTATTTCTTGAACATCAAAATGGCAATGGAATTCCAAAAGATATTCTTGTTAAAATTAAAATGGCTGAAAAAAACAGTCAATATGCACGAAATTTAATGAAATTAATCGAAAAAACGCCCACAGATATCGATATATTCAAAAATCCAAGGAATAGCTTAGAAGTACGAAAAACTGCTTTAGAAAATATTATCCAGGCCAAACAAAATTATACATCAGATACAGTCAAATTATTAGAATCAATAATTAAATTTGATACAAACTTGAGAATCGATACATTTAAAGCATTGATCGCGATATTACCAGATAATTTTAGTCAAACAACTGATTTTAACATTGATTTAATTGATATTGGAAAATGTATTGGAGACGACGAGAAGATTTCTATTGATGACTTGACTCGTTTGATACATAAGGATAAAATGAATGAAAACTTAGCAGGACTTTTACCAATGATAATCAATCGAATTATAAATTCACAAGTTTATGGTGGTGATGGTAATCGAGCTTTGGAATTATTAACTGAAATATCTGACGTAAAACAAAATGAAAAAATCATTTGCGATAGTTTACAATATTTGTTGAGTGTTACTTTCAATACAACGAATAATAAACTTCGAGAAAATATTGTTAGAATTATACAAAACTCAGTAGATGAAATTGAACAAAATAACATTCAAATATTGAAAGATCAAATTGATGGTACACAAATTGAATCTTGTTTAGCTGATGAACTACGCGAACTTGCCATTTTACAAACATTAAAACTTGATAAAAATTCATTGAAGAATTTGAAAAAACGTGTTCAGCAAGGATGTGCAATAAGTGAAGATCAAATTAATATATTGGTCGATACTTTGGTAAATGTTGATGAGCAAGGACAAAAGCAATCTGTCTACTCAGAGATAAGTGAAATATTATTTGAAATAAATCTTCGACAAGGTCTGAACAATGCGAATATCAATCGAATCAGTCAGAATTCTAAATTACTGGATTTTGTTGATGTTATGGGTATTCTAGCTATAGCCTTAAGTCGAAATATTCAATTTCCAGATCAAATCATCGAACGTTTTTGGAACCAATGCTCGTCAGTCGATCATACAAAAGATCAGAAATTCAAAAATTATTTAATTTGTGCAACAAAAGCAACAGTTGTCGTCCAACAGAAACCTGTACCGATATCCATATACGAAAATATTGTAGATTTTCTAACTGACCAAACCGAGGCAATTGAAACGAGAGTTCTTTGCGCAGAGATTTTATCCAAAGGATTAAAGCAAATTTCGAACTATCCTCAAATAATACCAATCATCACTTTATTGAAACAAGCTGCATTAATAAAACGAAGCAATCGAAATGAAGATTTATTAAATAAACTTATATTTGAAATTTTAGAAAATCATTTAGAAAGTGACTTTTTAAAAGAATATTACATCCAATTTAAATCCAGAATCGTCAATTCTAATGAAGAATTAAAAGCACTCGATAATTTTATGTTCACCAATGAGAAGGTTGTTCCTGATCGTGATAAATTCCATCTATTATGTGCACTGAATAACACATTATTCAATCGAGAAAGAATTGATCCAACTATTTTCAATCAATATCCTGCCAATGAATGGCGAAAAGAAATTTTATCTAGTGATTTACTAGCTGGAACATTTGAATTAATCAATCTCAATGATGGAGTCAGTGAATTTGAGTTAATAAAATTCCGAAATTCGATTCATTTAATAAATGATTTTATTCTTACACTCAATCCAGAAATTTATTCAATTGAAAATTTGTTACAAACATTAATTGATAAACAAAATCTTTATCAAATTCCTCTTCAAATGATCAATGATATTTTATTAATGCTGTTTGAATCAAACGTGACAGAAGCATTGGATATTGTCAAGCAAGAACAACAAACATTTTTCACACAATTACGTCAGTTATGGTTAGAAACACGATTGGAACATTTTGCTATCGAATTTACAAATGAAGAATTAGGAGAATTTAATATGTATTTACCATATAGAATAGAAATAATCAATTTCGTTTTCAGTCAAATTCATGAAAATACCAAAATCGATCAATTAATTTCATTTTTTAGCAAACTATTTCAATGTGGTTTGACGACTGAAAGCAGAGAATTCTTTCTAACAAAAGAAACAACAAAAAAAATTAGTTTAAATACTTTAACATTCCGATTGAACGATCGATTAGTTTGTGTATTATTATCGAATAAATATTCTAACTATGCTCAATATTTCCGTGATAGTGAAAATTATAAATTAGGGACAAACGTTCCATCGTTTGTAAAAAATGCATATAACCAAGCAGACACGACATATTGGTACACGGGAGAAGATATCGCACAAATCTCATCGGAATTGATGAAAGAATTTGACCTTCGAATTACTCAAGCATTATGTCAACAAGTTGATCGAGATCTCTCGACAATTTTAATTGAGATTTTGAATGAATATAAACAAGATTTGAAAACGACAATTATTCCATTGAATATCGCTGGCAATCATTGGGTGACTGTAGCAATATTCTGTAATCGAAACAAGCAGCAACATGTTGTATTATACAAAGATTCACTAGGTGAACAACATCTCGTTGAAGAAAGAGAAAGAGTAGAAAAAATCTTTACTGGTCAATTGGAAAATATTCAATTTAAATTTCATCGATCATGTGAACAATCGGATAGTTATAATTGTGGAGTATTTACTCTCGCAAATATGCATTATATAGCAGAGAACTTATCTAATAAGAATCAACAATCATTTATTGACAATTTCCATACTTCAAATTTCACTACACAGAAACAAGCGGATCAATATCGTCGTGAAAAATTTCCAAAGATGTATGCTTTGAGTTTATTTCAATCCTTCAAACGGCGAATCAATGAAAACAAAGAAATAGACTTAAATTCAAAAGAATTACTAATCAAAATCTCCGAGGACGAAGTTGAAACACTTTTAGACCAGCTTTGCGTGGAAGTGAATGAATCAAATAAACAGATTTTATGTACAAATTTAGGTTTATCAAATAAACAATTCATTAAAACTGATAAACCAATTGATATAAAAGAATATGAAATCGTGAAAAAATTACATAGGAAATTAACAAAAGTTTTACATTCTGGCTGGGCGTTAAAATCAATCAAACAAATAATTGATCACATTGATTCAGCAAAAAAAATCCAAAGTTTATTTGATGCATTAGATCCAATTTATGAATACGGTTTGAAAGAATTTGATAATAATATTAAAGGAAAAAGTTTAATTGAGATTTTAACATTATCATCATCATCATCGTTATTATCATCATTATCATCATGGTTCTTATCGGACAGTTTAGCAAAACAAGTACATGACTTGGCAGTATTTCAAATATTTGGAGGAACTTACGATAAAACTTTTCAACAATTAAAAGATGATCTATTAGATCGAAATCGAAATCAAAATATTTCTTTTCTTCAAGATAAAAAACTTAGCGAAGAATATCAAAAGGTTCAAACTGCATATGAAAATAAATCATCAATATGTTCAGATTTTGGATTGATTGAAGAATGGTCAACGTCAGACATCAAAACCTGGAGTGAAAAGATCAAAGGATTAACGTCGAATTGTGTTAGTCAATATGAAAAAATTGCAGTTGTGAAAAGAGCGGTGGAAATAACGAGTAAATTTCCACCGCGTGAAATTCAGTTATTATCCGTATTGATAATGCTAAATTCTGAAAAAGATAAGGGACGTCTAGCACAAATCAATACTGGCGAAGGTAAAACAACAATTGTTGCAATGTTAGCGGCCATTAAAGCTCTGGAAGGACACCAAGTAGATATTGTCACGAGTTCACCAGAATTAGCCACACCACAAGCTATCCAGCAGAAAGAATTTTATCAACAATTTAATTTAACTGTATCACATAATGGACATGATTTAATTGATATTAAAAAACGATATAATGCAGATATTGTTTATGGTGCAGCAGGCAATTTTCAAGGCGATATTTTACGTGATGAATACAGTAAATTGGGCACTCGAAATGGTCGAAAATGTGATGTAGCAATTGTTGATGAAGTTGATTCAATGTTAATTGATGGGAAAAATCATATTGTGATGTTGTCTTCACCAATGCCAGCAATGGACCATTTAGAACCACTTTTAGCAGCGATTTGGATACAGATTGGAGAGTTGGCCAAATGCATTGAAGATATAAATGGTATAAGTTATTATGTCGATCAACCGGATATATTCAACGAGGATGGAACTAAAAAATCTGATCTAATCGAACATCTTTCTCCAATCAATGGCACAAAGGAAGATTTTATTAAAACTTGTACGGAAAAACATATACGAAAAGTGATTCGAGATATTGAACATTTACCAGATGAAGAAGATAAAAAAATCCCTGAAAAATATCCCGAAATTAAAATTCCTAAACATTTAAGACAATTAGTAGTGGAAAGTCAGCTAACGAAATGGATTGATAGTGCAATTTATGCTAAATATCGATGTAAAAATGAACAACATTACATTCTTAGAGATGGAAAAATTGCTCCAGTGGACGCGAGTAATACAGGCATTGTTCAGGCAAATATGCATTGGAACGATGGTTTACATCAGTTTCTACAAATGAAACATGGTGCAAAAATATCTGCTGAAAGTTTAACAACAAATTTTCTTTCCAATGTTACTTATTTCAGACGATATGGTTCAAATATTTATGGATTAACTGGGACACTTGGAAGTGAAAGTGCTCAAAGATTATTAAGCAAAATTTATCAAGTAGACAATGTCATTATTCCACCATTTAGAAAAAAACAATATCAAGAATTAACACCAATTATTGTGAATAATGAAAATGATTGGTATGAGAATATTGTTCAAAGTTCAATTAATAAACTCAACAATGGTCGAGGTGTCCTAATCATTTCTAAATACATTGAAGAAGTAAATGAAATCAAAAACCGATTGATTAAAGCTGGGTACGATGAAGCGAGAATCAAGACATATAAAACTGAGGATGAATCCAAAACAGTTGAAGAAGAAATGACACCTGGAAAAATCATTATTGCTACAAATATTGCCGGGCGAGGAACAGATATTCGAGCGAATAAAATCGAAATAAATGGTGGATTACATGTTTTAGTGACATTTCTTCCACCAAATGAACGGGTTGAACAACAAAATGTTGGCAGAACATCGAGAACAGGAAATAAAGGAAGCGGACAATTTATTTTATTACAAAAAAATGAAGATAATTATCTAAAATTAAAAGAAATTCGAAATCGAGAAGAAGAAATTGGAATACATACGGCAGAGAAAGAAATAGAAAAAGTAACGATTAAAGACGCAATATTTGAAGAATTTTGTAAACTACTCACAGAGATTGGTGGAAATGTCACTTTGAAAAACAATCCAGAACATAAAATTCAAATCCGAGCAGTGGAAGATAGATTTGGTATTTGGTTAAAATTGCAACAGACAACAACCATGAAAGAAGAAATGCTAAAGAAATTTGAAATCTTTCGACAAGAAATTTTAAGTCATAAAGAAAAAGACCATCTAATCCAAAATCCATATTTTCATGTTTTAATTGGGAATGAATATTTGAAAGATAAAACGAACAAAAACAGACAAAATGCTATTCGTCAATTTACCAAAGCAATAGAACTAGATGAACCTTTTCAAGTCAATGCTTACTACAATCGTGGATACGCACGGCTTGTTGAATGTGGAGGTAGTTACGAAAAATATAAAAAAGAAATTGATAAAGTAGTCGAAGATTTTAAACGAGCAAAACAAATCATCGAAGAGAACTTGGAGCCAATGTTACATGTTATTCAACAAGCATCAAACTCCGAAGCTTTATCTGAACAAGTATCACATAAAATGACACTTTATGGAATACAAAAGAATACAATTGAAATGACCATTGGTCAAGATATAAAATCACAGATCGAAGTATTAGTAAAAGAGAAACAAGAACAAAAAGATGCAACAGAGAGAAGACGAAAAGAAATTGAGAATCAATTGAAAGAATTAAAAAGAAAACAAATACATCAAGATCAACGAGAATTAATTGAAAAACAAATCAATGAATTAAGAAATGAAGAAAAAGAACAACTAGATAGGATGGTAGATAGTGAAAAAGCAATCAATAATCAAATAAAAAATTTACAAGTAAATCAAGAAGAAAAAGAACTTGGAATTCTTGGTAAAGCATTAAAACAAAAGCACGATATTAAAATCGAAGATATAGAAATTGAACAATCTTTACCACAAGATGAAGATATTACATTTTATAAGGAGGAGATTGAAGAATATAAAAATAATGGATTTCGAGGATCTTTCAAAGTAAAAGATATCAAACCAATTGATTGGAAGGCAGTTATTGGTGTTGCTGCTCTTGGTATGGCACAATTAATTGGAGGAGCAGCAATTGCTGTATTCACTCTCGGTGCTGGTACTTCTATTGGTATGGGATTAATTACTGAAGGAGTTAGTGATCTTATTACGGCAGTAAAAGATGGTATTATTAATCGAGATTTTAGTTGGGTATCATATGTAATACAAAAAGCCATTAGTTTGACTGTATCTCTTGTATGTGCTGGATTGGGCGCAATAAAAGATGCTGCTAAAACTGCAGTTGCTGGAGTTAAAAGTATTGGTCAAGTAATGACAACAGCGGTAAAAGCAGGATGGAAAATAGCCGCAAAAGCTATTGGAACAGGTTTAGCTAAAGGTGTAGCGAAAGAATTAGTAACACAACTTGTTGATTATGGTGTGAGTAAAAATTTGATTCCCGTTATACAAGATGAAGTAATGAAACGAATTGAACAACCAATACAAAATGCATTACTAGCCAATGTTCGTGTGAAAAAAATGTTAGAATTAGATGGAGCAAATCGAAATAGTTATTATGAACATTTAATTGAAAGTAAAGCAATGCAATTGCTGAATTCAGATAAGCAACAAAGTGCACTACTAACCATAACTGTTGGTATAGGTAGTGGAATAGCTAAACAGAAAATAGAAGGCTTATCGACAATATTAAATGCCGTTGAAGTCACGCGAGCTTTAGTTCAATTGGATACCTTTGTGCCCAATTTTATCGAAAAATTAAACAGAGCAATAAATGAACTATATGAAGAACAAAAGATAGATGAGAAAGGATCTCAAAATCAAGTTAAATCAGAAGAGCAGCAACAATACACAATAGAGAAAAAAAATATTGTTAACAGCAAAGAAGAAAATAGCAGCCAAAATTATACATCGAACTATACTCCGGAAATATTAGATGAAGATATTAATGTTAAAAATGTTAAAGAAGAACAACAAGTACAATTGGAAAAAAAAAGTAAATCTTCCGACGTGTTATGTGGAATATTAGCAACGAGTGTATCTGCGAAAATGTGTAATATTATACAGAAAAAATTAATTACTCCTGTTACTCAGACGGGCATCAATTATACTATGACAAAATTGACATCTGGGTTAGATAAAAGTGTACAAGATGAGATTGGGAATTTGCAGACCGTAAGAAGAACCCAGTTTTTTCAGGACGGAGATAAAGGTAATAGGATACCCGATGAATTCAAAAAAGGAATGCATAATCCGGAAGCGGTAAAGAAAGTAGGCGAAATGATATATGAAGTGGAAAATGGCGGGGAAGCTGGATTACCGCATTTAGGACCATTAAGCGATGCAGCTGGAAGACTGATAAAAGTGTTAGATGAAAATGGACAACTCGTATACATTATTGGTGCAGATAAAGGTGGTGAACCAATCGAAGTTGAATATCATAAACCAAATGAAAACAATCCTTCTGGACATTGGACTTTACCAGGAGGAAAAGAACCCACACTTGGTGATACAGGAAAAAATAATTGTTTGTTCAATGTTGTCGCGCAAACTACAGGAGAAGATCCTAATGAATTAAGACAAAATACCGTTGCCATAATGAAAACTAATATAGGAAATCTTGCAAATCAGCTTCCTGATTTTATAAGATTACAGAAGGATAACAGAGATGCACTATTATTAGGAGGATTTAAGCATCATCTTGGTGAAGAACGAACCAGGTTACATAAATCTCAGGGTAGTATACCTTATGGATCACCCAGAAAAGGACACCCAAACCACCATGTACAAGGCAATATGTCGCTTGATGAGATAGCTAAAAAATCAACACATACAAATTTTCTTAACGAAAGTGATCAGATCAAATGTACCAAAGAGGGCATGGACTACATCATTGGAAATCAAAAACTTTCACAAGATCTACAATTTGTTAAAGCAGAAGTGACATTCCCTTTGAAGAACCCGGTCCTCGTAACTATTTCTGAGAAAAATGCGGAAACAAATTACGGTTTTGCTGACAGCGCCACACTTGTTCTGCATAATAGAAAAAATGATCAAAATCAACCAGATTCATATGGCCCTATGCACGTGCAGACAATCTTTGCTCATCCAGCAAGTTTTGGAAACAGTCCCACATATAAACTTACAGTAAGCAGAAAAAATCTTCAAACCAACGAAATAGAAAAAACAACTACTACTCATATTCCGGATGAACAATGGGCGACACCAAGGAAGTGAAGATGTACCGATAATGTAGACATCGACACACATTGCATTATCTATTTTTGTTCTCGCTCGCTTCTCTTTTTTTTTTTCAAGCCTGATCTCGTGTGTTGCGTTATATAGTTTATTGTTGTAACACTCAAATTCATATTGCATCCGTTTCTTCTTTGTTGTTTATTTTCAACAGCCCGCTTCCTGTTCATCTTCAGTTTTATTCACTTCATCGAAAATACGCAGGACAAATAATTCCTGCGTAGGATCCTGTCGAAAGATAGCCATTTCCTTAGCACGGGATTCCGACAAGAAGTTGTTGAATAACGGATTCGATGGTTTCCGATGATCGGATCTCATAACTTTTGAGAGGTGTGGGTGTGGGTGTATCTGTACGCGGGTGGGTGTGGGTGTGGGTGTGAATGTGAGTGTGTGTGTATACAGGTGGGTAGGTGTGGTTATGATTTAGGACTATGACGTGACTGTGGGTGTGTATGTGTGTGAAGGTGGGTGTTTGGGTGTAGGTGTGGTGACATTGAATATCTACATCCACACACACACCCCTATAATTCATGATTCGATGCCAAGCAAGGTAAATAAAGAATAGATAGTCTTGTAAAGCGCCTAATGGAGTCATTCACGATATCCGTCATTCAAACATTCTTGCCTAAACCCATATGGTCTATGAATATGTCTACTGTCAGTTGGGTGCTTTGTGGACTGACCTCCTTTCCGATAGTCATTGTTATTCGATGTCAACGGTGAGTTGTTTAAAAGTACGTTGATTATTTGGTGATGCGGAACTTGGAATATGAGTTCATATATCTAACTTTCACTTGAAGTGTGTAGTTTTTTCGTGCTTAGCATTGGTTTAATATATTATCTTTGGTATTTGCTTATTCTAAATTCTCATCCAAGATAATCAATGATTTGCCTTCAATGTTTTATACAACGTTTTCATGTTTTTCCTCCTTGCTACAGTGTGCTTAACTCATTATTCATATTCATGTTGTAGCATGTGCATGTGCAGTATATAAAGACACACATTAAACTTTTTCTCGTTTTTCTACGTATTTGTTATTAGTCTTATACATTGATCGCAATACGGAAGCTTCACTTAATGTAGATGTGTGATACTGTTCATTTTTTTTCTCATTACGAAAAGATGATCAATAAAAATGTGTCAATCCATCATATAACCTTTTTTAACACCGAATATTTGATCAAATCACGGTGAAGTAATAGGCATCCGCCATAAAATGACAATCTTTTAGAAAAAGGATCGGCGATCTATCGGATGAGCATTACTTGTTGAATATTTATAAGCAGAAATATAATAAATCAAATACTAAACATGAGTTACAAACAAGACTATGTTGCAAATATCAATCGTAACGAGTGGATCAAAATAAATAAATATCATGTATAATTCATTATAGAACAACATACTTTTTTACAAAACGTACAGATTTGTATGAGAATCAAATAAAAAAGAAATCACATTTTTGTAGATTTTTCGAAATATAAAGAGATGAAAAAGTAATAGATTTATATTTTTCTTTTACCCTAGATTATATATCGAGAAAAAAAAGAAACAGTTACTTCATTGATTGTAATACTTATTTTTTTTTTCGTTACATTTACACGTGTTTTTTTTCTGATATTTTTTTTTCATTACGGACCGATACAAGGACATACAAGTTCCATTTTCTTTTACTCTATAATCATTATATTTTACTTACGTGTAAGAAAGAAAAAGTACATGTAAATATCACGTAGCAAATATACCATGTCATTATTTATTACGTATATTTATATAGTCAATTTTTATATACGCATCAATAAAAATAACTCATTTTATTGTATATTTGAGTATAGTTCTTTGAAGAATTGATTTTATTCAATAGATTAACTTTTAATCGCAAATGGTTGAACAAGTAGAACAAAATGAGAATACAAAGAAAGGAGCAAAGCGTAATTTCATCATGATCTGTTTGGCATATGTTTGTTCATATACTTCATTGAATGCAGTTATTAGTTTACAATCGAGTATCAATACCGATGCAAATATTGGTCTCTATTCACTAGCAATTATGTATGGTAGTTCATTGATTACATCGCTCTTCTTTACGACTCCTATTGGATATATTTTTGGATACAAATGGTCGATTGTTAGTGGACAATTTGGTGCTATGATATATGTTGCATCCAACATGTATCCAAAACAATGGCTAATGTTTTCAAGTAAGTATACTAGCAATACGAATCGTAAACGATACGTAAACACTGTTTTGTTCAGCTGCAGTAATATGTGGAATATTTCGTGCCTGTATGTTTATGGCTCAAGAAGCTTATGTTTCTATTCTTGCTGGCGGTGGAAGTGAAGACGACGATAATGATGATGATAATGACACGAAAAACAGAAAATATTTTAGTATATTTTTTTCTGCATATCAATCCGGTGAGTTAGATCAGAATAAATAGTTTGATTTTATTTGTATATTGACATGGTAACATATAGCGGAGATTTGGGGAAATCTTATTTCATATATCGTCTTAAGAAATGTTCCAACAACTGCAGAAACAAATCTGGAACAATGTGGAGCAAATTTCCTCGAAAAAGAACATGAAGACCAGCAAGAAAATGGTCATATATCTTCAACAATAGTATATATATCTTTCACAAATCATTGTTTTGTAAGTGATACAAATTACTTTAGACATACATTCTCTTCAGTATATTCGCTGGAGTAATTATGATATCCGTGATATTAGTGATTTTTTTTCTCAATCAGAAACGTGATATTAAAAGTTAGTATCGATACTCACGATATTTTATCTCATCAATGTGCAATCTGATTATTTTTATTGAAGAAGATAATTCTAAAAATATATGGCACAAATCAATAGAATCTTCATCATTAACATTAAAAACATTGATCAAACCTATGCATCTGATCATATTTCCACTTGGATATTGGACAGAATCGGCACAGATATTCTTTATGGGATCGTTTACTAATGTAAGTTATTTAAATTTCGATGATCAAAAGCATTGAATTTAGAATTGATTTTGAAGAGCTTCATTACTTGTTCTGTCGGCGTACAATATGTTGGTATGTTTATTGTTCTATTTTGGCACAATCTCTTATGCCTTTTTAGGGCTAATTATGACAATGTATGGTGTGACTGTTACTCTCTCTTCGATAGCTATCATCTTTTTAGTGAAACGAAAATACAGTCGTCCAGCATGTTTCGTGATCGCAGCATTGTTGAGCTATACCGTATTTATTGTCATGCTAATATGGAAACCAGCATCATCACAAATTTATGTGCTCTTCATTCTTCCATGTTTATCAAGTATTTCAACTGGTATCACCGAACCTTTTATAACAGGTTAGACTATATAAAAGTATAGAGTCCTCTTTCTGTGACCACTTTTTCTTTAGCTATGTATAATTCAGTATTTCCTGGAAAGAAAGATACAGCTTTCTCATTATTAACATTTGCTCAAACTGCAAGTTGTTTATCTCTTTTACTCTATGCATCTGTGTTGCGTGTTCGTATACAAATTATTCTCCAACTTATTTTTCTTACTTTGGCCATGTTATCCTATATTATCATTTCAATTAAACAGTATCGATCTTCAAACAACAACAATGATGAACAACAAATCTCTGTTTTAAATGATCTCGTTATGATTCCTTCGATTAGCGAAAGAATATAAAATGGATATTTCATTCTGTGTATAATAATATTATGACTCATCAGAGGTCAAAAGAAGGATCTGTGTGGGTGTGAGTATTTACTTCTTTTTTTTTCCTCAATAAAATATATGCACTCATAGTTCATGAGAAACAGGTGACAGACGAAACGATGATTAAATAACATCATATAAAAAATATCACACATTTGTTTACATTCACAATTTCATCATAACGAAAGAACTCTAGTATTAGTTCTTTATTCTTTTCTGTTCGTCAAGTTATGATGCAATATGTCACTTTGTCAATATATAAGTTTATATTAATAGATTGAAATTTGAGTTATCTCATCATCCATTTTTTGTTTTCTTTATGTTAACTGACTCAAATTCTAATACAACATAGAAACAAATAAAGACATACGAACAACAATAATCAAATAGACATAGAAAAAAAAAGAAGAAGAAAATGTCTTTGAATTGAATGATGGCTTAAGTAAAGAAGTAAAAGTTAAAGAGAGGAGGAGAAGAAAAATAATAGTAATATTAGAATGTCATTTTGTTAACGACGTCGTGTTGAATTGATAATATGATTACGATTATTATTATTATTATAATTATTAGTTGAACGTATTTGTGTTCGATTCGATAAAGTTGATGATGATGATGATGATGATGATGACGATGATGATAAAGTAGAATGTTGTTTGGCATGATGCATTCGTTCGAAACGTGGTGCAATAAATTTTAATTTTTGACCATTAGTATTTAATATATCATTTGTACTCATTATGTTTGATAATGTATTATTAATTATTTGTTTTGGTTTGTCAATCACTGTTGACAATGAAGCTAATTTATTTGATGTTGTTGTTGTTTTTGTTGTTTTTGTTGTTGATATTGGTTTAACAGCAGCTGCTGCATATGATATACGTCGTGGCATAAGTGGTAGTGGTATAGGTAAAGAATGTTCATTGATCCGTATATTATCTCGACTATTATGATGATCATAAATTATAGATGATTGTTGTGAATAGTCACTTCGACTAGCATCACTAGCTGATTGATAACCATCATCTGTATCAGGTGTTGATGAACGATTTAGATTTATTTGGTCATCATCGATATTATTAATCGGTAGAGACGGTAATAGTGACTCGTTAGTTGTATGACTCTCATCGTCCGATGTATGAATTAATTTTGGTGTTAAATATAATAAAGCGAGTAAACATGTAGGTAAAGTCGTTAAGAAACTACGATTAAGATTATTATTATTATCATCATCATCATCATCTTTTTCTTCGATTTTCTGTTGATGATGAATAAAAGTCGATGATGGAATATAAAATTCAGAATAATATTGTGGTGAAAAAAGTAACCAGTCCCAACAAGCAGTTATTGTTGGTGACGATGATGTTGATGATGATGAAGGAGAGGAGATAATAGGTACGGACGGTGTATTAATACTCATATTTTTTGTTGGTGCAACAATGACTGGATTCCAATAAGATTTTGATGTTGGTGTTGTTTGATATGACGACATTTCATCACCGTATTGATTGAGTGAAGTAGTCACGTAGTAGTTGGGAGTTGTAACTAGAAAAAAGACAAGATGATAATGAAGAAGTAAAATGACAATGAGCACGGCAGTAATAGTAAAAGCACGTATATGAGAAGAAAAAAAAAAGAAAGACAAAAAACAGTCCTTTGAGCACCCGTCGACT